AGTCGAGGTGCTTGTCAGGGTTTGAACGCGCATCAACACCCGCCCCGACACTTCGACGTTCCCTTCACACTGACCGACGACAGATGTCTTCCTGAGAATCGACGGCTTGCACACAATGAGATTTGGGCGTCAGTATCACACAAGCCATGGGGTCTGGTGCCTCACTAGACGACGGCCTTCCCGAATTCTGTAGAAGTTGGTGTGGTGGTTTTGGCACGAGGTGACACGTGTCGCGAGTGGGGACTGCCTTCTCAGGCAGGTCTGTTGTCAAACCAGCAGTGTGGCACGAATCGGCGCCGGTCTGCAAAGCACATCGCTCCGGTTGCAGTAAGTTGGTTCAATATGAAGCGTTGACTCAGCAATTCCGGGTAGCCAATCACAGCCGTGACCTTGAGGAGCTGATAAATGTTGTAGAATTGTGTCAGCTGTGCCAATAGAAAAGCTCGAACCGCTGGTTGTGCCAAAATCGAATTTACTGAGATCATTGGCTGGCGTTGTTGCGGGCGTTTTCGATGGAGGCATGGCAAGTGTTGATCTCATTTGATTGACTGCATCCAGAACCGTGTGTGTGTGTGTGTGTCGACTTGGAGCTTGCGTAAGTGGCTTCCTAATCGTTGTGTGCTCGCCAGTGTCTGCACTGGTTGTCCTCTCGCCTACGAAAGAGCAATTACGTGCTCTTCCCATTGTTTGGGCTAAATAGCTGACTTTCTGCTGCATTATTAGTGTGTGGGACGTAACACCGATTCATCCTGTAGATGTACGCGTCGATCCACCGCGCGGACTTGGCCAGACTCTTCGACCACCTCGACCTCTTCACCCTCCTCTTCTCGGCTATTTGCCACGACCTTGACCACCCCGGTCTCACCAACACCTACCAGGTTAGCTGCTGCTTATTTAGCATTCATTACACCAGTGGACGTGAGCTATGATTGACACTGTCGTACCCAACTGGGAATTGAATGTTACCTCCCTCGCGCAGTCTGCTAGATAACAAAGATTTCTTACTTAAACTGAAAGCGATGTTGGTTTTATTGAGGTCATTTAAAGGTTTTCCCTGAAGATTGTTAAAGTAATTTTGATAACCAGGTAGGCTTGATATGCATTCATTGACCAAGAACGCCAATTAGTCGTGCGAGGTTGGTTCAGGTAAACCAGAGGATTCCAACACAGAGTGAGTAGATCTGGCTTGATGCTGGATTGGTGATGGCGTTGTGTGTTTGCTTGAT